ATTTCGAACAAAAATATCTCCAGTTCGCGAGGGAACAAGGCCAACGGGACACCATGACCTAGTGAATGACATCCCTCCTGACTACAGCACAGATGCTAGCTGCAAATAAACAAACGAGGTGGCTTTACAGGAGCTCGAAAAACAAAATAGGTCAAAAGATGTGTTTATTCAGAACACCACACCCCCATTGAAACAGTTAAACGCCCCGCACGTATCCTCACACAACAATCTCATACGCTCTTGCCGAAACCTCCGAAGATAGACTGCGGCAATCAAATACCAAAACTACTAGGAAGAGTTTTGGTCTTTTCCTAAAGTTTTTGTTTAAAGTGTTGCAGGATTTTCTGGACAACCCAATACAATTTCAGAGTGACCTTGAGACATCGAGGTCAAACCAGATACACTTTTACGAGAAACAGGTGAAACAAACGACTGTGAACTAATAGAATGCAAGGGACATCAAAATAAAAACAAAGGTGTTAGGGATGACCGCAATCTGCTCCTGCACTGACATGCCCTTCCAAATATAATAGATGTCAGGAGGATTGTAGAATAAGTTGTGAAATGGATGTAGCTGGAAACAGCGATCCAGGCAATTAGCACTGTTGCCATATACGTTTTTCATATTTCTACAGACAACGCGGTGACAGGTGCCAACGGCTGCTAATCACACCAGCAACGCAATCGACGTCAACTTCGAGACAGGCATAACTCCTTGGAAGAACAAGTAAATATCACACTAATCGACAAGAAGGGAGGATAAGAAACCATTATAGGAAGTGGTGACGATAGAGGGAGCGCATCGGGGAAGTATTGGGTTGGGGCAAAAGTCTTGAGACACTCGGGTGCGTGTTCAAAAATCTTTTGTAATTTTATTCAAACCCTAGTTCAATAAGCTATATAATCACCATCATTATCTATATCTATGACATTCACCCAACGTGCAGGCAAGTCGGCTATTCCCTTTCTCCCAGAACGTAGAGGACCGTGAGTCAAAGAAGTCAGCCACAGTATTTTTGAGGTCACCAGAAGTAGCGAACTTCTTCTTGACCAGGAATTGCTTGAGGTGCCTAAAAAGATGATAGTCAGAAGGGGCGAGGTCGGGGGAATAGGGAGGGTGGGGAACGGTATTCCAGCCAAGCTCCTGTAGCCTGGACTGCGTGATCTTTGCGACGTGAGGTCGAGCGTTATCATGCAGAAGATGGACAGAAACCTTCTCGGTCGCTTTTCTTCGATTGCATGAGCGAGTTCCTGGAGCTGGCGACTGTAAATGGTAGCCGTGACTGCCTGGCCTTGAGGGAGCAACTCATGGTATAGCATTCCCTTTGAGTCCCAGAAGCAGCACAGCAAAACCTTCTTTGAGTGCTGTCCTGGCTTGGGCTGCACGGGTGGATCTTCTCCTTTTGGGAGCCAGACAGCGACCCTCTTGTTGTTGTCGTAGAAGATCCAGCTTTCATCCCCGGTAACCAGATCCTGCAGAAACTCCTTCCGATTTGGGGTAAGGAGGAGCGACTGGGCGATTGAGACACGCGTGTGACGCAGATCGTCGGTCAGTTGGTGCGGAATCCATCGAGCGAAAACTTTCCTGTAACCGTGCTCGTGAAGGTGTCGAACGACGTTGCTGTGATCGCACTCGAGAAGCTCCGCCAATTCCCTGCTCGTAGCCTCCGGCTTCTCCTTCACTTCGCTGAGAAGTCGGTCGTCTTCGATAACAACTGGTCGCCCGGAGCGAGGATCGTCGTCGAGCATCGTATCTCCAGACTGAAAACGAGCGAATAAACGACTAACCGTCGCATGGCTGACGAGGTTCTCTCCGAATGCAGTGTTGATATTGGAGGCAGCGGAACGAGCACTGGAACCGCGGCGCCACTCGTAGAAGACGATTGCTCGAAGTTGACTTCTGACAATTTATTTTACCAGTTTTGCTTCGCCCGCTATCGCGCGCATCACACGGCAGGCTTTAGCGAAACTGGAGGACCCATGGAATATCAGCATGAGATACTCCATTAACCATCTCACTATTGACTGTGTTAGACCCTCCACAGTTTCACGTTAACTAGGCTAAGCTATTTTCACAAAACCGTTCGGCAATGGTAATGTGGTAATACGCGTCCGAAGTAATCAGTTTTATTGCAAATTTTAACAAATTCCACATCTTGTTGCCATGCCGTCCCAATCTGGATCTTCTAACCGAAGCCTTCAGATCACTTGTGTTTGTGTCACCTTTGGCAGCCATAACGAAGCATTCGCTATAATTTCTTCAGTTTTGTCGTGAAGATCAAGATTACTGTAACATTTGCAGACGCAAGATAGTATCTCGCCTGTGGTGACTAGATGGACATGTAAAGGAAACCAGGTGTGCTGCGGAACAAATGCATGTTGTACCGCTGTTAACGCGAACGACAAGATTTCGATTTACGAATTAGCGAACTTTATGTTAGGGTGAGCCTTTAACTAATTCTTAGATAAAAGCAAAAATAATCGACCATGATTCACGGTGCCATTCTACAGGGTGGGCGCGAATTACGGTAACAAGAGGTTGGCGCTATCAATTTTTAATTTTGAACACCGGGAGTTTTCGACGTATATTCCACGTATTTATTTTGATAATTCAGTGCTCCATCTTTGATATGTTCACATGAAATATGTCAACTCCGTAATGGTCAATCTTTTAACTCCTCGAGAAATAGTCACTACGTCGCTCCGACGAGCTGTTTGATTGTGTTGCATTGCCCGACAATTCAGATGCTCATTGAAACTTCCCTCGACCATTATTACAAAGTTTAGAAGGCCGTTCACCAGCATCAGTTACCCTGAGCATGACAGGATTCCTTTACGAGTAATATTCCGAAAATACGTGCGAAGAAGTAAGTGCTGGAAACCACCTTGCCCAATCCGTCATTTGGTCGCTGAAACTGCTGTCGCACTCTCTTGCAACGCCTTATTTGCACACACCCTAACAAGAAGTATTACAAGCAAAAAATGCCTAATATCTAACCGATGCGAGGAAATTGAATGGAGAGCAAAGATGCTACAGGTGAATGTCTCGATCCCGTGATGACCTTCCTTTATGGTTACCCTTGGTAAGAAGATTCTGCTCTTGAATAAAAAGAGCAGCTGCACTAATGAGGTGAAAACCAACCAGCTATTCAGTGATGGTTTTGCACAAATCATAAGAGCTGGATTCACGATTTGAAGACACCTCAGACCTCTGCTGCTCAAGATATGAAACTATAGTAGAAATCATCTCAAACCCCCTGTCTCGGTTGATGCTTCAAAACGATAGGACTCTCACAGGAAACACAGGACATCAGAGCAAGATTTGGCGCCAACCCACAATGCACAGATTGTCCAAAAACCGATGTTAACAGAATATAGTGGTATGCGTCATATCAGAGATAGTTCTCCCAACTCAATTCCTGTGGATTGCTCTGCATGGGGTGTGTCGAAGGCAATGAATTGTTAAAAGCATAGTAGGAATATTGACTAGCTGAGCAGTCGCTTTTGGGAAGCCTTGGACCTGCTCGACAACACTTACCTACGCAACAGAGTCTTTGTTTATTTATCAACCCTGAAAGCGTTCACTCCAAAGAGCAATATTATTTTTTGTTGGATAACTTTCCACCAATATGCTGATGTTGTTAATTTGTGACTTCTCGGACACATTGTTTCTTTTGTGATCAATCTATGTCGTTACCGGAATTTCTGCCATCTCGTACATAGTTGGAGAGGGTAGTCTGTTTGCCTGCGCTCTCTCAGCGGAATAATGGCGGCATTCGGTACAGGTAAAAAAATTTCGTGAACCAGTGGAAATAAGGGCAGATGGCACGACAAATTATTTCCACCGTTGGAAATGAAATCGAGAGTATAAGTAATGGAGCGGAAAAGGAAACACCAAGGAAAATGACCTAAAACAAGCAAAATTGACCTGTGTGTACTTTGATATCCACTGTAGACGAGCCAGTGACAAACAGCGTATGGGTGGATCAATCATCGACAACATGCCGATAGTATACGTTAGATGTGGCGACTGAAGTCTGGCACGACATTCAAAATGACACGTTGCTTAAGCTCAATACAATTTCGAGAGTGACCTTAAGACATCGAGGTCAAACCAGATATACCTCTACGAGAATCAGTTGAAACAAACGACTGTGAACTAACAGAATGCAAGGGAAATCACAGAACAAAGGTGATAGGGATGACTGCAATCTGCGTGACAATCCTGCATTGACCTGCCCTTGACATTACAAATAGATGCCAGGAGGATTGAAGAATAATTCTGAATTGAGTGTAGCTGGAAACAGCGATTCCAGCAAAAACTTTTTGCACTTTGTCACCACGCTTTTCATATGTGCAACACACGCAGGGTGTCACGGCTGCTAATCAACACCAGCAACCAATCGAGCGGTCAACTTCGAGACAGGCATAATCATTGGAAAAACAGAAATATCACACTACACGAACTCTGTCGCGACAAGAAGGCTAAGAAACCATTATAGGAAGTGGTGACGATAGAGGGAGCGCATCGGGGAAGTATTGGGTTGGGGCAAAAGTCTTGAGACACTCGGGATGCGTGTTCAAAAATCTTTTATAATTTTATTCAAACTTTAGCTCAATAAATATATAATCACCATCATTATCTATGACATTAATCCAACGTGCAGGCAAGTCGGCTATTCCCTTCTCCCAGAACGAAGAGGACTGTGAGTCAAAGAAGTCAGCCACAGTATTTTTGAGGTCACCAAAAGTGGCGAACTTCTCTTGACCAGGAATTGCTTGAGGTGCCTAAAAAGATGATAGTCAGAAAGGGCGAATTTTCGAATTTTTGCGTCGACATGAGATTATAACGATGCAATATCCTCAACTCCTCGTACTAGCGTAATGAGCAACTGACGAATATTTTTAGAAACAAACTGTAATCCCACGCTGTTATACAGTTTGAGACAGAATTGATACCAATAATGAGGCAACTCGGAAACTCATTTAAGGCCATTGAGATGAAGTCAGAGCATAGGTTCCGAAAAAATCTCCGTCAGCCCCTACCTGGCTCTGAGCCGCCAAGACAGATATCGAATGTGGCGATAAGGTAGGCGTTGTCAAGTGATCTCGCGTTATCGGTAGCGAATTCTTCGGAAGTATTCAGTCACGGTGACGTTCGGCGTAGGGGACAGCTATTTAAGAAAAAGTTGATTAGGCAGTCGTCTTATTGATGTCTGATATTTCTTTGTGTATGCACTGTGTGGGCAGTTCTGGAAAAACGGCAGCTGACTCATCTATGGAGACGACGTCACAAAGGCCACCGTAGAACATCACGGTGTACTCGGAGTAGCTACTACATCAAAATTCTCGCGGATATTTTGAAAAATCTAGTCGAAAGTAGACAACGAACTCCCATTTCTTCATGTTGGAGCAGGAAGAAATGGGAGTTCTGCAAAACAACAGATGCGATAGTGATCTCTAAAGAAAGGTCAGACGTTGCACTCACTGTTTTGCTGACCGAATTAAGGAAGAGCCGATTGGATCTCGAGCGTAACAACTTCTCCACTAAAGGCGTTGCTGGAGTTTTTGGTGGTAAGCCTTTATAGTTCTCTAATGAGTCAATAAAAAATAAAAATACAAAAATTTCAGACAATGAAGTTGCCAAAACACGATTCAGAAGGGACGTCTCCTTTATCGGAAATTCATTCTTTGGATGGCATAACACGTTAGTCACTCGCTACGATTTAGTTCAATGCTTCACATCGCTGAAGGTCTGTTTTATGAAGCATTGGAAGAGTGAAATTCGATAAGTGATGTAAGGCCATGACGGTAAGGGGAAGTACACGCTAATCTTGCATGTTGCCAAAAAAATTGGTGAGTAAAGAGAAATTTCGGTAGGATACGACTCCTGAAAACTCGTCCATTTTCGCGTTTTAGCTGGATGAAGAGCGTCCAGTTTTGTTTTCCGGAGTTCGTAGCCATTAAAGCTGTAATTTTAGACTGAATGTAACTCACATACTACCAGTGTCGTGAAAATTTAGCCATTGCTCTCCAAGAGTTACCAGTTACCTGGAAGCTAAACTTCGGAGTGTGGGCTAAAATATCCGGATTGTGCCGGTATGATAAACAAACTAAAACACTGCGCGACACTTCCTGTTGCTGGCCAGTGGTCTAACTAGGCTAAGCTATTTTCACAAAACCGTTCGGCAATGGTAATGTGGTAATACGCGTCCGAAGTAATCAGTTTTATTGCAAATTTTAACAAATTCCACATCTTGTTGCCATGCCGTCCCAATCTGGATCTTCTAACCGAAGCCTTCAGATCACTTGTGTTTGTGTCACCTTTGGCAGCCATAACGAAGCATTCGCTATAATTTCTTCAGTTTTGTCGTGAAGATGAAGATTACTGTAACATTTGCAGACGCAAGATAGTATCTCGCCTGTGGTGACTAGATGGACATGTAAAGGAAACCAGGTGTGCTGCGGAACAAATGCATGTTGTACCTGCTGTTAACGCGAACGACAAGATTTCGATTTACGAATTAGCGAACTTTATGTTAGGGTGAGCCTTTAACTAATTCTTAGATAAAAGCAAAAATAATCGACCATGATTCACGGTGCCATTCTACACGGTGGGCGCGAATTACGGTAACAAGAGGTTGGCGCTATCAATTTTTAATTTTGAACACCGGGAGTTTTCGACGTATATTCCACGTATTTATTTTGATAATTCAGTGCTCCATCTTTGATATGTTCACATGAAATATGTCAACTCCGTAATGGTCAATCTTTTAACTCCTCGAGAAATAGTCACTACGTCGCTCCGACGAGCCGTTTGATTGTGTTCCATTGCCCGACGATTCAGATGCTCATTGAAACTTCCCTCGACCATTATTACAAAGTTTAGAAGGCCGTTCACCAGCATCAGTTACCCTGAGCATGACAGGATTCCTTTACGAGTAATATTCCGAAAATACGTGCGAAGAAGTAAGTGCTGGAAACCACCTTGCCCAATCCGTCATTTGGTCGCTGAAACTGCTGTCGCACTTTCTCTTGCAACGCCTTATTTGCACACACCCTAACAAGAAGTATTACAAGCAAAAAATGCCTAATATCTAACCGATGCGAGGAAATTGAATGGAGAGCAAAGATGCTACAGGTGAATGTCTCGATCCCGTGATGACCTTCCTTTATGGTTACCCTTGGTAAGAAGATTCTGCTCTTGAATAAAAAGAGCAGCTGCACTAATGAGGTGAAAACCAACCAGCTATTCAGTGATGGTTTTGCACAAATCATGAGCTGGATTCACGATTCCAAGGCACCTCAGACCTCTGCTGCTCAAGATATAAAACTATAGTAGAATCATCTCGAACCCCCTGTCTCGGTTGATGCTTCAAAACGATAGGACTCTCATAGGAAACACAGGACATCAGAGCAAGATTTGGCGCCCACCCACAATGCACAGGATTGTCCAAAAGCCGATGACAACAGAATATAGTGGAATTCATCATATCAGAGATAGTTCTCCCAACTCAATTCCTGTGGATTGCTCTGTATGGGGTGTGTCGAAGGCAAATGAATTGCTAAAAGCATAGTAGGAATATTGACTAGTTGAGCAGTCGCTTTTGGAAGCCTTGGACCTGCTCGACAACACTTACCTACGCAACAGAGTCTTTGTTTATTTATCAACCCAGAAAGCGTTCACTCCAAAGAGCAATATTATTTTTTGTTGGATAACTTTCCACCAATATGCTGATGTTGTTAATTTGTGACTTCTCGGACACATTGTTTCTTTTGTGATCAATCTATGTCGTTACCGGAATTTCTGCCATCTCGTACATAGTTGGAGAGGGTAGTCTGTTTGCCTGCGCTCTCTCAGCGGAATAATGGCGGCATTCGGTACAAGGTAAAAAAAATTTCGTGAACCAGTGGAAATAAGGGCAGATGGCACGACAAATTATTTCCACCGTTGGAAATGAAATTGAGACTATAAGTAATGGAGCGGAGAAAGAAACAAGGAAAATGACCTAAAACCAGCAAAATTGACCTGTGTGTACTTAGATATCCACTGTAGACGAGCCAGTGACAAACAGCGTATGGGTGGATCAATCATCGACAACATGCCGATAGTATACGTTAGATGTGGCGACTGAAGTCTGGCACGACATTCAAAATGACACGTTGCTTAAGCTCAATACAATTTCGAGAGTGACCTTAAGACATCGAGGTCAAACCAGATACACCTTACGAGAAACAGGTGAAACAAACGACTGTGAACTAATAGAATGCAAGGGAAATCATAAAACAAAGGTGTTAGGGATGACCGCAATCTGCTGACAATCCTGCATTGACCTGCCCTTGACATTACAAATAGATGCCAGGAGGATTGTAGAATAAGTTGTGAAATGGATGTAGCTGGAAACAGCGATCCAGGCAAAAACTTTTTGCACTTTGCCACTACGCTTTTCATATGTGCTACACACGCAGGGTGCCACGGCTGCTAATCAACACCAGCAACCAATCGAGCGGTCAACTTCGAGACAGGCATAATCATTGGAAGAACAGAAATATCACACTACACGAACTCTGTCGCGACAAGAAGGGAGGATAAGAAACCATTATAGGAAGTGGTGACGATAGAGGGAGCGCATCGGGGAAGTATTGGGTTGGTGCAAAAGTCTTGAGACACTCGGATGCGTGTTCAAAAATCTTTTACAATTTTATTCAAACTCTAACTCAATAAACTATATAATCACCATCATTATCTATGACATTAATGTCCAACGTGCAGGCAAGTCGGCTATTCCCTTCTCCCAGAACGAAGAGGACTGTGAGTCAAAGAAGTCAGCCACAGTATTTTTGAGGTCACCAAAAGTGGCGAACTCTCTTGACCAGGAATTTGCTATGAAGTGCCTAAAAAGATGAAAGTCAGAAGGGGCGAGGTCGGGGGAATAGGGAGGGTGGGGAACGGTATTCCAGCTGAGCTCCTGTAGCCTGGACTGCGTGATCTTTGCGACGTGAGGCCGAGCGTTATCATGCAGAAGATGTACAGAAACCCTTCTCGGTCGCTTTTCTTCGATTGCATGAGCGAGTTCCTGGAGCTGGCGACTGTAAATGGTAGCCGTGACTGCCTGGCCTTGAGGGAGCAACTCATGGTATAGCATTCCCTTTCGAGTCCCAGAAGCAGCACAGCAAAACCTTCCTTGAGTGCTGTCCTGGCTTGGGCTGCACGGGTGGATCTTCTCCTTTTGGGAGAGCCAGACAGCGACCCTCTTGTTGTTGTCGTAGAAGATCCAGCTTTCATTCCGGTCACCAGATCCTGCAAAACTACTTCCGATTTGGGGTAAGGAGGAGCGACTAGGCGATTGAGACACGCGTGTGACGCAGATCGTCGGTCAGTTGGTGCGGAATCCATCGAGCGAAAACTTTCCTGTAACCGTGCTCGTGAAGGTGTCGAACGACGTTGCTGTGATCGCACTCGAGAAGCTCCGCCAATTCCCTGCTCGTAGCCTCCGGCTTCTCCTTCACCTTCGCTGAGAAGTCGGTCGTCTTTCGATAACGCTGGTCGCCCGGAGCGGAGGATCGTCGTCGAGCATCGTATCTCCAGACTGAAAACGAGCGAATAAACGACTAACCGTCGCATGGCTGACGAGGTTCTCTCCGAATGCAGTGTTGATATTGGAGGCAGTGGAACGAGCACTGGAACCGCGGCGCCACTCGTAGAAGACGATTGCTCGAAGTTGACTTCTTGACAATTGCGACATGGTTTATACCAGAAGGGCTCGGGGACCTATTTAAATACTGCTAGCGGTAACTCTGAGATTGTTCTAGAATATGGTGAAATCATGACGGTGGCAAAGATTCTTGTAGAGACATGACGATCCATGTAAATTTGTGTCTCAAGACTTTTGCACTAACCTAATACATATATGCGCCACAAAGTGCTCCTCCGCAGTGGGTCCATCCATCGGTTTAGTTGGTGATTTAGGCGAGCCGTGCTAGCATTTGGAGCAACTCGACTGAAGCATGTGCCATTGAACGCGGTGCGGTAAAGTCGTCCATACTTCCACCGTCTGAGGCGTTGCCCGACCTTGACCGAAAATCAACGGCCAAACGAGAGGCTTCTGCTTTGCGTTTTCTTGATTCGTCCGCTTTTTTCGCCATTGGCGTACCATTCAGCACCCCATATTCCGTCTAAACTCCTCCTGAGCGCAACAACCGGAGAAAGCATGGAGACATAACCCATTTTAGGCTCCTCTCCATCACACTACTAATTTGTTGCCTCGGATGTTGCCTGTGTACAAGTCCTGAGGAAGGCGATGGCGATTCCAACGGTAAGCGATGCTTGTTTGATTGTTAACTGCTGTTTTTGGCCGCAGTTCGCCTTGCGAATGTTTCACAAGAATGCTGGGTTGTGAACAACGAGAGGTGCGGGTTCGAGTCCCGCCTGGGGCGAAAGTTTTGTTCACAACCCAGCATTCGTGTGAAACGGTAAGCGATGCGTCATAAAATTGTTCCGCATAACAGTGGTAGTCGTTAAGAACGCGAATCAGAACGAACCACTAGACCTGATTGATCGCTGGCGTCATTGGTGTAACTTTGACGCCAATGCCGTATCCCTGTGAATTTGTATATGCGTGTTATTCGATAATCGAATATAACATTTATTTTTGACGCTAACACCACTTGCACCTATTTTCAGCTCGTCTGCGCCCTCTCACTGGCTGGATCGTGATCAAGACTAAGCCTCGAACGATGAGAGTCCCTAAGCTGCGCTCTAGCCAGTGACTGAGAGAGCCCAGGAGAGAGAAAATTGCGTTATGCCGATGTCAAACTTGCGATCGAGCGATTCGCTAGCGTCCGCGGTCGCGTTGCGGTACCAGCCAATTGAGTGATTCACTGGCCGCGACGCGACCGCGGACGCCTGCGAATCGCTCGATTCGCAATGTCTGTCACCAGCCTTAAACAGCGATAATGCCGAAAACGAATGTCATATTTGTAATAAGAACACCAAATATCCCTTTGGAGAAAGTACACCAGATTTGGTGAAAGGAGTTGTTTGGTTAGTGACGTCAACTTATGCCATATTTAGGATTATATTTATTTATTTGTTCGGAATGAGCGCAGAAACAACAGGGCATAGTAGAACAACATGACCGACAAAACAGGAAAAATACAAATCGATAGTACGCGCTGAATTACTGCAGATCGCATGAAACAGAAGGTTAGAAAGGAGAAAGAAATTCCAAAGAAACCTCGAACTGGCTCGATTAGATGACCATTTTCTTCGAAGCAGGCAGTGAAAGTTTGCGAATGTCATCTCTAAGTAATTGTTTCAAGTCCGTAAATTTCTACTTGAGAAATAATTGAAGCTGACATTAGTCCTGCTTTTCGGAGCCCTTAGCTAGCTTAAGACGAACTTTTGAGATTTTGAGGTTGTAAGTTTTGAATATGAGGGCCAAACTTCTTGTGAAGAAACACTCCTGCAGAGTGATTTTCTACACATTTTTTTTTACTCGATCATCATCATTCAACTATTATTTTGTCAGTTATAGGATTTTGCCAGTGCGTGCCAATAGTACAAGTCACACAGTGACGCGACAAAATTGCGACAAATAGCAAAAAGTTTGAAGCGCTCCTGGGGTGGTTTGTTGCGCTGAGGATCTCCCTTTCAGTAAATTCCCATCTGAATCTAACTTAACACTAACCTACCAATCGCCTTCGTGTTGGTATGGTTTAGCTTCTGTTGGTGAGCTCCTACGACGTTGTCTGGAACTTTTAACTGGCGACGATACCGCGGATTTCCGGCGACATCGCCTTCTCCAAAACCTGAAAGGATCAAAGTAATTCATAACCACCCGACCGATCGCCTCCACTACTCTACTAAAATTCGGGGTTAGGGCAGTTTATCCCACAATTCTGAGGTGAGCCACATACCGTAATCGATGGCTCGAGATCCCACAAACCAATGCTGGACGCATATCAATACGGACTTATTTGATTTAAACGTTCTTGATGGAAGCCTATGCCTTATAATTAGGGCCTCACCGTCGTCAGCTCCGCGCCACTGGTTGGGAACATTTCCCATAGCTTCATTTTTGGGCATGGCGGCAACCGAACGTGCTCGAGGTTTTGTGAACTTCTAGGCATAAGATCATCCTCGGGCTCTCATGGCTCGGGTTAACACGTTGACGACATCGCGCGTTTTGGCATTTTTGGCCGCGTGGGACCAGAGCGGTTCTGCGAGCGCCGCCGCCTCACAACAAATCTGTGGATTTTGAGCTTTAAATACGCAATACTTCGATGCGACAAAATGTTTTCACTGATATTCGGTGTGTCAAACTTATTGGAAGGTACACATGTGAAAGTGCGGTCGAATGATGTGTTACAGCATTGAAAAGGCAAGTTTCACTTACTTTTGCTTTAGTGATTTCAAAATTATTTTGGACGTGGTTGTTTCGGTAAAAACACATATCTTGCCACACGAGTAGCTTTGTACTCACTTCTAATATTCTTTTTTATCTACATGTTCGTGTTAATGAAGAGAAAATGAGGAATGAACTGAACGGATATTTTCGTCCGGTCCGAAAAACCTCTGCCAAACTAAAGAATATTTGGTCATTCTATAAGCCGCGTGGTTCTTGGTTATGTTGTGGTATGGCCTAGAAAATGAACACAAAAAACCTGGGAAGAAATGGCGCGTTCAAGAAAAAACTGAATGTAAAGGGTGTGGCAACTATAGTTGCCACAATGTCCATTGCGGCGTGCAAAACGCGGCAAACCTAGTTGCCGCGCTGTCGTCAAGGTGTTAAGCCTCAGAGGTCAGGCCATAAGTGAGCACAACCCGTCTCATAGCAAAACTATATGTCACGCTTTTGAATAAGGAATTTAAAGATACGTTGGTTCCGGCTACTTTTACAAATTTTTACTTCTACTTCATGTTTCTGAAATACGGTTTTTTTAGATCCCTCGAGTTCACGAGATGGTTGTGCGACTTCCAATGGAACCGTATATCCGGGAAAAACTCATCGATGTGGTCAAAGCAACGGATCACCGTGCTCTCCAACTTACCCCTATCTAAACCCTGACTCAGAAGATCCCAACTATTACCTTCCAGGATATCCTCCACCTTATCCACCTGCCTATCCTCAAAGCTATCCTTCACCACCTCCACAATCACCTCCTCAATATTGTTCTTCTTCACAAACCCGTCAAATACCCACAGATTTACCAAGACTACATGTACCACCTTAATGAAAGAAAGTTATGTGTAAAAATGTTGTACATTCGATTTTAAGGGGCCAGCTGTCTGTGATTGCCTTTTGACTGTTAAATTTTTTGATATTTAGTAATAGTAATGGACTTAATAGAAGAATATTATTCTAAAAATTCTTAATAGAAAAAACATAAAACCGTCTGCCAAACATCATAGTTGTGTGTCTGTCCTTCATGAATATCTGCGCCGATATCGGTATCTCTCATATTATTCGTGTTCATCACTGCCACTTCCCGGCCTACTGATAATAACCCAAAGTCTTAATACCTCTCATTTACTAGTCTGTACTCACAAATGTGGTCACTAACCCGAAGGTAAGGCAATTAAACTAGGGTTCACGGGAATTCGTTCATAAATTGTCCTTCTACTGATCCATCTGCGAGTCAAAATCGCGATTTTGATGACAACCGTAAAGACGGGGAAAATCACGAGTTTCTTCTTCGAAAAAATTGAAGACCAAAAGAAGAGTAAACAAAGTCGTGGGGCTTTTCATGTGGTGACTTCCTGGCGAGCACTTTGTGGCGTTTTCAAATTTATCAATCACGACGAAGGGTATGGCGTTGTCACATACACGCAATCCACAATCCATTGACTTAAAGGCACGTTCCGGAGCTGAAAACGCTCACATGCTGCGTACCTGAGCATAGTAAGCAGGCGCACAAGCGTTGATGTCGTGTCCCTTTTGCGCTTGAAAGTGCGCGACAAAGGCGCTGGAGCTCGTCCGACCCGCAATCCACACCTTCGTCCGCAAGCCCCCCTTCCGCTGTCGGTTGCCACGTGGCGCTGCTTGAAAAGCGCGGGCGCAGTTGTGATAGCGGTTCCATTGCGGTCCAATGTCGTTGACGCCTAGGGCTAAGCTAATGAAACTTGTCAACACGCCCCTTCCTATCCCAAGGTGGAAGGGGCGTGTTGAATACTGTTGAAAAAGCGTGGCTCCTTATTCTTTATGGGCGTAATCGGACGTTCCCCTTGCTTTGTTCCTCTTTCCCAGATCCCGCCCCACCTCTAGCCTCTTAGTGAACGCTCTTTCGCACCTTTTCTATCACGAAGCTTGCCTTTAGAAGAGGATTGCACGATTAGCTCGGAAGTCGAAGAAAGAGAAGTATACCTAATGGAAACGCAGACGGGTACTTAAAGGGATCTTTCACGGAAAAGGCCGCTGGGCACGACGCTAATGTGCTATACGAAGTTATCTTCCACGGAAAAAGCTCCGCCCTCATTACCACAGAAAACGATACCTTAAAGGAATCTTCCACGGAAAGAGTGATCATTTTGTCTTGTGTGTAGGATTAGTATTATCGAAACTAACGCTTATGTTCCGTTCTTTTTGCTATGCTCATGAGGCTAGGGGCCTAGGGGTATCGTTTTTCTGTGGTAATGGAGGCGGAGCTTTTTCCGTGGAAGATTTCTTTAACGGATTTTGATTGCAAGTCTTGATTCCAAGCGGTCTACTCCAGCAACCTTGTTCAGCGGCAGCGTGGAACGTTCCTATTGAGCAATTGGAAGTTTGCCATGGTGGAAATGGTCAGCATCCACCACTTTGCCTGCGAAGAGGGTTTGAACCCAGGGTCACTTTCTTATGTGCACATCGTTACCACTGCCATCGCTTGTTGTCGACAGTGAAAGGGTTGCAGGAAAAAGGGAATAGCCTGCGAAGGTTGCAAACCTTGGACTTATCGTAGTATTGATCCCGCGACTGATCCAACAACAACGTAGACCGCATGCGCTACACCACTGACGAATCAATGCAAAGTGCCTCCGTTTCCCTTTCCAACACCGTGCTTTGACCCACGCACCTGACAGTTTGATCCGAAAGACTTTTTGCTGCGCGTAACGGGCGTATCCTGCGTCTCTCCAAACACATTGTATTTCGTCCCTCCGCGTCCCTTTTCTGTCAGCGATCCGTTCTTGCGCGTAACAAGGAAACAACCTGCCAGGGAGCTGCAGCTCACCCAAGAAGCTTTTTTCTTCAGAGTTCCATGAATAGGTATCCTAGGTGCCATTAAAGCGATTTCCACCATCATCGGAAGCACTTGCACCTCCACGTGACATGCTCATTATAACGTTAACGTGCGAGTTTTGGTAATTTACTACCGTCCTAGGTCAACAACGCTCAACGTGCAAATCAACGAGCATCAGGAAAGGGTCCCTTCGCCGGGTTGTAGGCCGTTTTTCTTCCTTTTTTCTTCATTCCTACAGCACTGACCACCTTTCTTGGTTTCTAAGGGAATGTCGTCTCATCGTGAAGTCCGTCTTCAAAGCAATAACTCCAGCAAATTGCTGAGGTAACAGTAATCGAAAATGAAATTGTAGATTCTGAGTTGATTTGACAATGAAAAGAAAAACAAAGCAAACCGCCGACTAAACTTAAGCAAGGACTTTCCTTCATTCCCCCGTGAAATGAGGGCGTGCGAGTAGTGAGCGAGTTGTCTAAACTTGCTTGTTCCGTGACTTCACTAAGCCCCGCCTAGTTGAGTAAGCTGTTGCGTCGCAAATCCACGTTGCAGTGGCGAGGTATCTTGTCTATTAGCCACATTACTGGTCATTAGCTCACTTTGTATAGCTCTAGCTCCATTGTCACGACTCGGAAGTACCATTGTCGCGCTATTTTGAGCCGTGAGAACGGCACAGCTAAGTACTTGAGGGCTACCCTATCCTTCCCTGGATTGCATTGGTCCCCACTGTCTGATCTAGAATGGTTGCTTTAGGTTCAATAACCTGAAGAAGACGAGTTGATTTTAATTAAACCTTAAAGGAATCTTGCGCGGAAAATTCTTGCACTCTTTCCTAACATGAATATGTCAGTTGTGATCACTGGAAATAGCACACAAAGTTTCACGCATGAAGATTCGGTTTCTGAAGAGAAACAAACGTACAAAAACTACACGTTATGGACCATCGAAGGACCAGGAGGCAGAGCCAGGCGAGGCATGGAAAGAAGACGGCGTTTGGCCGGCTACGTACCAGGCGACGCAATGAGAGAATCGGGTTAAAGCGCGCGATTTCGGAGAGTGGAGACAAATCGATCGATGGAATAGGATGGAGTAGAAGTGTAAGATATGAATGCGCGAAGCAGAAGGCCAGA